CTTGTCCTCCACAGCTAGAGATGTTGTCCAAGACTTTCTAAAGTCACTAGTGATTTTGGGTACCGAAAGGCCTTTGAGAATCAGACCCTTTTTAGTGCCAGTGTGGCACATCTTACTGGGGCCTGATTGGTAAGATTTTAAAAAATCATGAGACTTAAGATATCTTAAAGACATACCTCTTTTGAAAGTGTAAAGCTTTTGAGAGTAAAATGTCTTGTGTCTCAAAGATAGTTATGAAGCCTGGATTAACCTATTTCTGTTTTGCTGTAAACAAGCATGGAAAGCAATATGTACTTCTTTGTGTACTTGTTTGATTACCACTCAAACATCTACAAAGCATGTTCGGACGATACGCTTAAGTTTTTCATTTGCCTCAACTTAGATTGCCTAACCTTTACTGTGTCTCCAGAATAGAAGGAAATATAATGAAAAACTCAGGCATTTCTTCAACATCAGCCTTAATCGTAAAGTCTCTGGCATATGCGGAAATGGTTCCCATCCAAAAAATGCTTCCTTGTTTGTTATCAATAACTAACACAGTCTTGTCTGCACACCCCTCGTTGCTGAAAATGCAAATAAACCTGCTGAGGAAATATATAGTGTGTTGCTATAAATGAAGTCTTCTTCTGCATAGTGCCATTGGTACATATAGAAAAGAAACCCCGTATGGTTGGGCCTTACCCAGTGGAATTCTGGCATATCTCCACTGATATAAACTTACTGCACTGGGTACAACAAAGGTGTAAACTGCTCACATTCTTCTCTCACTTATTACTTTAAACATTTACATTACCAAAAATTAATTACATTACACAGAGATCATGGGATAAATTTCAAGTCTAAAAATTAATGTGAAAGGGAAAAGCAGTGCACTTTTTTAGTCAAGGGACACAGTGGGAGAAAACAGTGTGTACCTTCTCTAACTCTCTTTACTATTCTATGCAAATATAACTTTTGCCCAAACATGCTAATCAGTGACCTCCCGTTACAGACCTACTAGCTTTATGGGCTTTCCCCGCAGACTTTGAGTCTATCTGCTAAACTGATCAACTAATAATTGAGTCAACCTAATCCTGAAGCTTACAAAAGTCCGTAGTGAGCTGACATGTAACAAAGGACTTCCAGTTCTAGTATGCTATGATAAGAGGGAAGGGACTTTGAGAGGTCATCTGGTCTTGCCATGAGGACAGGAGATTGGACCTAATACCATCTAGACCATTACTGCCAAATGCCTGTCTAACCTGCTCTAAATATCTCCCACGATGGACCTTCCACAAACTATGTATGTAAGCAATTTATTTGAGGACTTAACCACCCTGACTGGAAGTTTTTCCTAATGTCCAACCTAAACCTCCCTTGCTGCAGTTTAAGCCCATTGCCTTTTGTCCCATCAGGCGTTAAGGAGAATAATTTTTCTCCCTCCTCTTGGGTTTGTTTAAACTTTGGAAAAGTTGAGACTAAAGGTCTAGAAAACATGATAGCAGCTTTCAGTCTTCCGTCATAGGTCATATCCCACCTCAACTGTTTTTGTTGCACTTTTCTGGACCTTGTCCAAGTTCGCCACATCTTTCCTGCAATGTAGTGCCCAGAATTGGACACAATACTGTAGCTGAGGCCCAATCAGCACAGAGTAGAGTGGAAGAATGACTTATTGAGTCTAGCTCATAACAGTCTTGTTCATGTATCCCAGAATGATGTTTGCTTATTCTTATAGCATTACTGTGGAGCTAGTGTAGTGAATGTATGACTCATGTTGGTCCTATAATCCTACAGACTGTTTTCGGAACGATGCTTGAATTAAGACAGTTTGACTAACAGCACAAGTAGAGGTCAGATCACAAAAAGCAAAGTGGATATTAGAGACCTAATGGACGGTGTGGGAAATGACAGGATCCCCTTTTTTTTGGGAAAAATATTTGGTGTAGGAGAAAGTCAGGATAATTGTTTGATGCCTGTTTCTTTTCCACCCTGCAGGGAAAGTCGCCCAGAAGCAGGGGACTGTGAGATCCTATCAGCAACACAGTAAGAGGAAGAGACAGAAAATTCTAGCTGGGAAGAAACACTAGTCAAGGGGAAGAACTAAGGTTTCACTCTAGAATGATTTGCCAGTCCTCATTTGCTATATCAGTTTCTTACATCAGAGCCTTCTCCCTGGCTTCAGATGGTGGTTTCATCCTTAAGAGATTAAACAATATGGTGGGGCACAAGCTTGTCATGTTTCTTCTGCAAAGATTCCTCTTCAGCAGTCATGAACAGATAAAGGGGGAAATACATTTGCTTTTTGAAAAATAAACTTGACTGACTGTGCTCAAAGGAAATATTTCTAAATTGTGTTTATGCTTAGATAACTCACAATGGAGTATTACAATTATTCTCTTACAGTTTCTCTGTCTAGCGTTTGCACAATAAAGCAACAGTGTGGTGTGTGCAACATTGCTCTCTGTTACTCTGGGAATGCCTATAATAAATAGAAGGATTAGCCTTTCAATAAGGGAAAGGGCAAGCAGCAAGCATTGAATTACAAGACATTCTTTGCATCAGGATGCTTAGACACCTGATTAAATGGCAATTTGGGGAAGAGAGTTACAGGAGAAGAATCAGTGAAATCTAAATGGCCCTGATGTTTAAATGTTGACTGAAATTGACTTAACTTTCAAGACAGAAGGCTAATCTTTCAGCTGCCATTCTCGCCCATATTTTCATTCTATCCATGCATTATCTGCTCATATTTATGATTAAAATTCCTAAAATCAGGAATTGTGTGTCCTAAAACTCAGTTTTATTTGGGAATCCTCTTTTGTCTGGTAAGATGAACAGTACAAAATGCCAGCTGGAACTCTTACACATGAAGTTTTCAAAGGCATTACAAAGAAACTCTAAACCATAAAACATTTATGGGTCATAAGTATTGAACCAAACTCAAGTCCTAAATCCATTTAGAAAGTCCAGGTGTGTGACTCTTGCAAAATTTGGCTGCCGACTCTCAAGAACAGGGTATCTCATAAGATTACTGTTATTTTATTCCAGAAAGGAGCAGGAAATATCGTAGGAAAAGGGTCCCTCATATTATTTCATTATGTCTGGCTCCAGCAGCAGAGCTGGGTTTCTGAAAGGTCAGCTGAACTTTTTGAGCCATCAAAGTTTGGTTTGACTTTTTATAAGCGCCAATTCAAACCTTCACCTAAAACAAATTAATATTATTTGGGGCTCAAGCCAACTTATCTCCGGGGAGATGGGCAAACTAATGTCATGAAACTAAATTCCATGGCATAGTCTGAAAGGGACTGGTTGAGCGTTCTTACTTTACATTTAGCTTTACAAAGTCTGCGTCTGCAACTTTTGGCATGCACAGTCAGATTTCTTGTGCACAAACAGCATATTGGTCACACAGGTATATATTAGTTTGTGTGTACAACTGCTTTGCACATGGACAGGGAAGGTGATAGTGTCTAGCCTTAATTTAAAAACAGAATTTAAACCAGTCAAAATCACTAACTTTTTTGTCAACAGCCCCAATCAGGATCATGAAAGGCACTATTAAAAAACATAATTTACAAAGTAATCACATTACAACAGCTGATACTGCAACAAAAGAGTCTTCGGAAACAGCTGCAGTTAGGATAATCAGGAGTAAACAAGGTCTCCAAAGGGATACTCATTTGAACACTTTTAAATCAGAGGTATAATATAACAGGCCTGCTTAATGGAGCTTATCATAAACAACATTTCATATTCTCCGCCATTAATTACAGCTCTCCTGCATCTTAGACCTCTCGGGGTAGATGACTATTTCCAGTGAAAAGTATCAATCTGCAAACTGCTAGTGTTTGTATCCTAGTGTTTCTATACAATCCCCCAGACTACTTGCTTTCCATTTGTCCTCTTTATGTGCCAGCAAATGAATGTTGGAGCAGCTTTCTGCAAATGGACCAAGGATTTTAAATGGCGATCCTTTAACTTGGAGAGCATCAATTTTTAGCTGGTTTAGGCACTCAAAGTAGAGGCCAGTACCATGCATGTAGTGAGAAAAGCATTTAATTATTTGCTGCTGGCCAGAGAATAACCATTCTCTTGCTTTTCAACCAATCTGAAGCCTTAAGATGGGTTTTTGTTAGCTGCTTATTTTCAACTCCACTGAAACTTAATTAAAATAAACCTATTCTATTTTAAAATCGGGCAAACACTGGTTTAGACAAAACAAAACACCCGTCTCGATTAATTATTTTTTTTCAGTCTGGGTTCCAGGTACAAGCAGGAATATTGGATTAACTTGACAGCACGTTCTCACGTATATTCAGCCCTAGAACTGTGGTGTACCTAATCTTTCAAGAAATCCCATTCCCACTGATTTCCAGCCCACTTTTGCAAATCCTAGAGGGTCATCTGGTTTAATTAAGATTTGTAGACGCATCCAAGCTTCTATCTGCTGACCAGATCTGAGCTAAACATCCTATCCTTTTGTTAGTGCATTGTATGGGTAACAATCACTTTATGGATGAAACATATCCATTAGAAGCTGTAAAATGTGTAAATCACTGTGTTTTTACATAACATACCTTCCTTGACACTTCAATTTCCAGATTTTAGAAATCATGCTCTAACCTGCCACCGGCGACTGGTGATTTTGAGAGCTTCTAGTTTTGGAAGGCTAGTTTGTGACACCCTGCTGCAAGCCACTGGCTTTTCTATCCATTCTGAAAATAGCACATATTCAAAATCACCAACATCTTGAAGACATAGGCCAATCTACATACCTGATGGTTTGAAATATTAGTTGCTACAGTCTCAGATCCAGATCCTCAAAGGTAATTAGGCACATAACCACCGGACAACAGGAATTAAGCATATAAGCACCTAAAAACCATCATGATTTTAATACTTTGCAGAGAATACCTTTGGTTGTGAACCATAGACAGACCATGGGAGGCTGATAATGTGTAGCAACACCAGTGCCACCATGCAGCCTATGGGGAAGGGGGAGAAAGGTTTGATTTGCTTACAGCGCTCATGAGGGAGTCCAACACACTGACGGCGAATGCGGTTCCGCATGCAAATGGCTGTGTGAGATACAGTTCTGTGTCTGGGTCATCGTCGTCATCTTGGTCCAAAAACTGAACATTTGAATCGTTTACTGCAAAGAATAATGCAAGACATGTTATCACCTGTTTCTTGGCCCATAACACGTGACCTTTCATACTACACAGTCAGCAAGAAAAAAAGCAACAGCATGTGTCTGGAAATACAGACTTGTGTCTTTGACGCCACTTACAATGAAATCAAAGTGGATGTGAAAATGTGCACTTAAAAATCTGCAGATCCGTGTTTCGCTTGTCTGAAAAGAGACTATGCCTGTGCCAGAAAGACGGCACCACCTGTTTACTTGCCATGGAGCTGAAGTGCATCTTCCCTCAGTACAGGTGAGATACAGTAGGTCGGGCTGTGCAGTGCTGCAGCGAGCCATTAAAGCCACGGCCACTTTGGGTCAAGCCAGTGTTTTCATGGACCAGGTTTATTTCACAATGGAGCTGCAATTGCATTAACACAGTTTCACTGGAAAAGAATCACAGCAGCAGATGCCTAAGAGGGAACCCCCCCATTCAGCTTGCATTTAGATAGTCGTGCCAAATAATACACTGCAATTCTACTACTATCTTGCAGTAGCAATGGTCATCCACATGGTTTGAGCCACAGCCTTACTGCCCTAACCACAACTTCTGCAAAGTAACCTGATTTGGAAACTTCCTCACACCGAATGGCATAGAAGAGAATAATCAAGGAAACACTTGACATTTAGATCGTAGTGGCATGGGACAGGGGTGCGTCGATGAACTCTGGCAACTCAAACAGCTTGATATAAATCTTATCAAGCAGATGATATTTGAGGAAGTCATCTCTTTCACATACGAGGACCCCTCGGGCATAAAAGTGCAGACTGATTACTTGTGTCACCAAAGATGCTTCTGAACTTTAATTTGTTTATGAAAAAATAACTAATTTCAGACACGAAAAGTATTCAAGACCCACACTAATCAGCTGCCGCAAAATGGAGACTTGCCTAGCCCCGGATGGTAACATTAAAAATGAAATGACAAAGATGCTTCTAAAAAGCCAAATCCTAGTGCCTTTGAGTTCAGTTGGATCCCTCTCTGCCTCAAGAAGATAGTTCAGAATGGCAGGCATATTTCTAGATAGTTACTTTTATTTGATCAAACCGCCCGGTTTTTAACAGCTATCTTTCGCTGGTATAGTAGTGCACTGTTCATGCTGGGCCTCAGTGACAGCACTGTGAAGAAGATAAGCACTGTTATCCGTCTTTTACAGCTGGGCAAATTAAGGCACCAATTGGCTGTGACATAACCAAGGTCGAACTGAATCAGGAGACGAGCTGGGGATAGAAAGTACAATTCCTGATTCTCCGTCCCCTGCGATAACCACTAGTAAGTGACATCTTTCAGAGCTCTCCACGGTCACTCGTTACATTATGTGATGCAGATGAATTTTGTCCTGGTAAATAGCTCCATTTACACTAATACTATCCTTCCCAATGGCTGTCAATTTATTCTTGGGTTTCTAAGCAAGATGCCATTTGAAAGGCTGTTGTACTGTTTCAAAATATACTTTTTCCCAAAGATGGATTAGTTTGCTCGCAGAGAAGAGGAACTAAGGCACAACCATCAGAAGCACTCTTTTTCCACTTCTATCAGAAAACCTATGCCAAGGTCAGATATTAGCCTTACAAGTCTGCCAAGCAGTCTGGAGTGTCAGTTTCCAAGTTGCATCAGGAAAATAAAGATATTTTCAGCCTTAAACTGCACTTGTAGAATTCACTGATGATTTGGTGTAAGTTAGCCTGCTACAATTTGTAAAAAAGGTCTCTGGGCTAGACAGGGGTAGGTTTAAGAGTGCAGCGCTGCGCCACAGGAAATGCTAATCAAACTCTGCTCTCAGCACCTTGTGAGATCTTGTTTTATTGAGAGAGAAGCTATACAAGCAGCTAAGCTTCTCGGCACTGAGTCTAAGAAAAGGTCTACCCACAAAAATAAAGCCAACAAATAAACAAACAGCTTAAGGAAAGGTCTGATACCAGGGTTTCTTTTTTGAACTCGTTTATTTCTTTTTTGACTTCCTGTGAGAGCTCAGACATGTCAGTCAAATTGACAATCGTAGACTGAAATAAAAAAGAGAGGGAGAGAGAGGGAGGCCCAGGCCAAAGGAAATGAATTGGTGAGAAGATGCTATGGAAACAGCCGGCAGGTCAGACGAGTGTGATCAAAGGTTTACTGATGCTGCGTGAAAAAGAAATCATTAAGGAAGGCCAGAACAAGACAGTCAATTTCTACAAGAACCACAAATAAAACACATTCAAAGCAGTGCCAGGAGGGTAGCCCCTCTGCTGCAGCCAGATAAATAAAGAAAAAGCTGATGATGGTAGGAACAACACCACCAACAACAAAAAAGAAGACAGTGATGTGAAGGAAAAAGGCACTTCTTACCCAGTTCAGTTATCATTAGTATGTGGGTTCCACTGTTTTTTTCCTGACTGATTGAAACCAAAGGCAGAAGTTTGCCAGGCTTAGCTAATAAGTAAAGTATTTGGGGGGGGGGGGAAGAAAGTACAGAAAGAGAATAAAATAAGGGAGTAAGACAGGTAAGGCTCTAAAAAAATAAAATTGAAAAATAAAAAGGACAAAGGACCACAAATCAAGTTTGTATTTGCCACAAAAGCTTCTGCACTTCACACCACAACAACTTGACAACATGAATATCCACAGCTGGAATGGAAATCATACCCTGGTCACCAGCTGCCCCATTCTCAAGGGTAACAAGTGTCACATCATTATGCAGTGATTATGCAATAGTAAAACAAGTTTTGGAGCATGAAGGGTTACAACCAAGTGGTCATTTAAATGCAGAAGGGAAGTCTTCTGGCATCTTACATAGTCTTTTCAAAAAAAGGAAAGTAATGTATTACCAAGTAGGCAGCATTCTTTGGCATAACCTTTTGCCTAATGTAATGTGTGTTCTTGAATACAGCAGATGTAAAATCCATATGGAAGAACTAGTTTAGTTACTTACTTATCCAAGTAGAAATAGCTGTTTTGATTTATGCTCTCTTGGAAATATTAGGGGAAACTAACTGAAAAGTAAGCCCCGTGTCACTAGCTATGAAACAAGTAACTCTCCTGAGGCCTGTAAAAAGAAATGGGAAAACATATAGGAATGGACATCAAAGGAATGTTTTTGTTTTTTTTACCTAGCTCTGTTATAATAGGGATGTTGGCTCCCGTTGTGATCGAGGGTTGCCGTAACAGACCATGGACTGGACTGTTGTCTGGTGATGTCCTATCCATTCCTGGTGGCGTGAACCCTAAGGAAGGAAAGTCAGACAGTTATAGGATGGCCTTCAAGATGCAAGGCAAAAAGTCATTTCAGACAGATGCAAATGATGACACCAGACACAAAATTTGCACCTAGCTCCTGCAATAGGTTTCTACCTGTAGCTCTCTCTGAAGAATAATCCATCATACTTACTACAAACCAACATTCAATATTGCTGAAATACAGCCCTTCAAGCCTATCAATATTCAGGGAGTTTATGCTCTACGCCAGCTGGCAACAATTAAAGCCAACACACTTCTGCTCAATTTGTAAAAACTGCTGTTTCACAAACATCAAAACATGCTAAAAGTTTCCGTGCAAAATGTGATCCTTATCTGAAATATTGATAGGAGAAAAAATAGAAAAACTGAAAACAAAATCCAAACACCATTACTCTTTTAAGAACACTAGTAATAGGCATCCTTACTTAAACCCATCAGCCCCTGAAGGCTACAGGCATGGTGAAGTAAGAGTCATCATTGTATATCCACCCCAAAACTTTGGAATCACGCCTTGCACAGCATTCTAAAGGCCTAATAGATTTAATTACTTTGTGGAGCCCATTGAGTTCTTTGCACACAAACCTTGTGACTTCTAAGATCAGCCTGGAAACAATGTAAGAGCAGAACACACTAGTCTAGAAGGAATGGGGAGAGCGTGGGAAAAGGGGTGGGGAAGGACATCTGGGAATAAACAGTAGAGAGGTGCACACACTTCAAGTGGAGAAAAGCCACATAGGTGGAGCATGCAGATTGCATAAGGAGGCCCTTGCTTTTGCCCCAGATGATCCCCTAACCTCCTGACTCGCCACTGCATAATTCTTGTATCATAATTCCAGCTTAGGAAAATACTGTGCCTGGGTGAGTGCTGAATTTGTCAGTGATCTCAGTAAACCAATAATCTCTCATAAAAATGACTTTCCTGCCGACTTTTTGTGCTGTGCACTTAAATGCATGATCCTATTCTTCCTACTTTTTTTTTTCCAAACCAGGGAGACACAACATCACTGTTGTTGCAGTGCAAGTGACAACACAGAGTTAGGCTCAAGGGCTCCATTTCCCCATTACGATGGCAGTATTTGTTTGAGCAGCTATTTGTCTGCTGGGAAGAGAAATGAGGCCAAGCTAATCTTGCATTATAACTTGTTGAACAGCCATTAGAACTTGGACAAAGGCTGCCCAGATGTTTTACTTTATGGCTAAGACCCCAGGACAGGGTGTTTGACCTTCTGACGTGGAGTGATTGAAGAGTGGCAACTAGCTGATTCAAATCTAGCTCAGGAGAATAATGACGAAATCATTCTGGGTGTAAACTTCTCTTTGCATACAAACAGAGCTACTCAGCTACATTGGCTCAAACATTCCTCCGCTGTTGACTCCATTGCGAGTGGCTACTGTATTTTCCTCTGCCCCACCCTCAATTTTGGCAGTACAAACAGATCATGAACTATGTAGGGAATCCTTTGATCACATTTTGAAATACTATAAAGTTATGTCAGCCTCTTACCTGAATTTGTGCCCCTTTTGTGACACTAATAATTACAGCTATCAAACTAGTTTTAAATATTTTAAAATATTCAGTGTGCTCATTTTAGACCCTCCGTTGTCTTCTCAGTCTAACACAGGGGTGGGCAAATACTGGCCCAGAGGCCAGATTCAGTCTGCCATGGTTATCCTCTGGCAGAGGGCTTCGCAGGTACGGGGGATCACGGCTCCTGGTGGCCACGGGTCACAGTTCCTGGCCAAGGGGAGCTGCGATCATGGATACCAGTGGAGGTACAAGAAAATATAGTGGCAGCAGCCCACCAGGAGCTAACCTTGGTGAATGTACGCCGTTTTCTTGTCCACGCCTGATCTAATAGCAGGTCGGCACATGACGTGAGTCTCCAGTTCAGCTCTGTGCACCCCCGTTAGCAAGGTATGACAGCATTGCTGGGGTGCTGGAATATTTTTAAGAGTGAGGGTGCAGAAATCAGCCCCTTTACACCTGTGCACCCTGCCCCTCAGAGATGGGAATGAGAGCAGAGCTATGTCTCTGGAAGGTGGGGGGCAGGTCCAGGGCATGGGATGGCAGCAGATTCCACTGTAAAATGTGGGACTGCTGCATGACCCCCTGCACTTCTAGTTCCCACACCTATGAAGTGCTTGCAGGAAGGGACTATGTAGCACTTTAAAGACTAACAAGATGGTTTATTAGATGATGAGCTTTCGTGGGCCAGACCCACTTCCTCAGATCAAATAATGGAAGAAAATAGTCACAACCATATATACCAAAGGATACAATTTAAAAAAAAAACCATCTTTATAGTCTTTAAAGTGCTACATAGTCCTGTATTTTGTTTCAGCTACACAGACTAACACGGCTACATCTCTATCACTATTCTGCAGGAAGGGGGCATAGAACTCTGATGCAGCACAGTGGGTTCTGAACAAAGCAGAGAGCGGCCTTTTGTGTTACATGGACACCACACTGGAGCTTAGGCAAATATGTGGGGCTGAGAAACTGCCCCACTCCTGCAGGGAAATAGATTTGCTACTGTGGGCCTTGTCTACTGGGAACTCTCGTGCTCCTCCAGAAAGCATATTAAAGGGATTTTGTTTTCTCTATGAATGAAAAATAATTCTCTGCCTTCATGTTTTTCCTCTATGGGTTTGGAAGATCTTAGAAATATCCACAATTGTATTTCTCTGATTGTGCTTAATTTGAATTGGCTGGAGGAATCCATGGCTAGTGAATAGAAAAATACTTACCTCAAATCCTTACATTTTCTGATTTTTCTGTGCCTGAAAATATTCCAGCTTCGTTTAACAGGACATAAGGACTTTGCAGCCTACCTTCCAACCCACAACATAAATGTTAGTTTTTTCAACAACAGTCCATTTTCTTCCACCCAAAAAAGTGAAGGAAAACTAAACTGTTTTATCAGAACTTTAATTTGAACGCATGAAAAACTACAAGTGACAGCTGTGCAGATTCAGTGAATGAGACGTTTTTGAATTTCTTCAATTTGACAAGTAAACACCTTAAATCGGTAATGCTATATGCATAATACATGGCCTGTATTTTGACATCCATCATCAAATGCTGACTTGAGAAAATACAGGCTGTACATCAAGGAATAACACTCATAAAGTTGAGAGAAATTCAGGTCACAGGGTATTAGGAAAACTATTTCATTACAGAACCAGAAACAAGCTAAGGTACCAGTTTTAAGATCCATTTTCATCTGTGAAAAGATTCAATTTGCACAGAGCCTTCGTTTAGACATGACCTGTTTTCCTCATGGTCTTTTTTCACTTCCCATTTCAGATTCCATTTTCTTCTTCAGTCTCCAAGTCATGCTCCATTAACATTCATGGACACAGTAAAATAGGGCATGCGGTTATTGCGATCTTCCAAACTGCAGTGCCATGCTTATTCCCGAAACAATGCCAGATGTCTTCGCCCATAAGTATGTGAAGTTTATGTCAATTTCACCCTTGAGGATTATCTTCTTCTGAAATCCATGTGAGATAACATAATGGCCGATGGCGAAGGATGAAACTCCGTTCTCTACAAGTAGCTGGTAGGGTGTTATTGTGCAGCTAGTTCATGACAGCATCTACATCTAACTATGAACCAGCAGTAACAGTCATCATTGTCCTTGACTGTTGAATCAATGGCCCCAATCCTTGCATAAGTGAGCAGTAGATAGAATACAGCCACTCAGTCTGCCTCAGTCATGTTTCTGGAGAGAGATCTTTCAGTGAGGGTATAGCTAGACTATGCGCTTTTTTTTTTCTTCAAAAAAACTGCCCTTTTACGAAAAAACTTTACCTGTGTCCACACTGCAATTGTGTTCTTTTGAAATTAAATCGAAAGAACGCAGGGTTTTTTTCGACATTGATAAACCTTAAATTACGAGAAAGAATAGCAATCAGGGCTTTCTTTTGCGAGAGCGTCCATGCAGTCTGGATGCTCTCTTTCGAAAAAGCAGTTTGCTTTTTCGATCTGGTTTTGAGGCGTGGATGCTCTCTTTCGAAAGAAGCTTTCTCAAAAGAGTTCTTTCAAAATAGCTTCTTTTGAAAGAGGCTTGCAGTCTAGACCCTTTCTCAAAAGAGTTCTTTCAGAATAGCTTCTTTTGAAAGAGGCTTGTAGTCTAGACGTACCCTGAGTGACACATGCAAAGGTCCTTCTGTGTGGGGCAATACACATGCCCTTTCTGTGGCTTTAATTAACCTTCTTACTAGTGGTTTGCCAGAATTTGCATGCAGGAACAAACCTGGCCGTTGGATGTACGCTACAAGGCTTCCACGGACTTCACTGGGCACATTTTGATCTTTTACATTTATAACATGGTTTCCATTCAGAAGGATCACCTGATGCCTCACAAACTAATCCAGAACTGAGGTACAGACAGTTTTAAAGAGCTCTTTAACTTCAAGGGCAGGTAGGCTGGATTCAGGTAAGTATTCGAAACCATGTTGTGTTACTAACTCCAGTCAAATACACATTCATCTTTTCATCTTCTCTTTCACAGCACACAGTAAAATCAGTTTTCCAGACTAAAATGCCAGCCATACTTATGGCGCTGCCTAATGACAAGCAAGACTATAGCCTTTAGCGCTGGCAATCTGGTTACATTTCAAAGAAGTAATAAGACATTACCTCATAAATCCCAAAAAGATTTTGCTATCTTATTTTTTAAAATTCCACTTCTACAGGATTTACAGCTTTTGCTACCTAATTTTTTAAAATTCCACTTCTACAGGATTTAATCTGAATATCTTTTGAGAACTATCTCTATTGTTTCTTGCTTCACAGATGCATCAATCATATTTTGAATATAGATGATCAGCGTGCAAGTGGTGAGCTTCTACAGCAGTGGAGGGACAAGAGTAAAGAGAGTGAGAGCCACGAACCAGAGACAAACAGACAATTCTCCTACACTAGGGCTATGTCTAGACTGCAAGCCTCTTTCGAAAGAGGCTCTTTCGAAAGATACTAGAC